TTAACTCCCCTTCCATGGGCACCAGGCATGAGCATGGTGCCCATACATACTCACACATACAGTAAAAATAAATAAAAAATAACGCAAACATCACATTTGCAACTAATATAAGAGACTGATTAAGAGAGTGAGTTCTGAAGCTAAAGGTATAGCTTAGCACATGGAATAAACAAACAAACAAAACACAAAAACAAACAGCTAATTCTGATGTCACACAGACATGAGTTAAAACCCCAAATCAGTGAATTACTACGTGACCTGGGACAAATCATTCAATCTAAGCCTCAACTGTCATTGGTAACATAGGGATAACACTCCATTCAGACACGAAATTTCAACAGGGTTCTTCACAGAGGCCTTCAGCCCTGTGCCTGGCAGACAGTAATGGCACAAAACCATCTTTATCACCATCATGGCGATCAAACTATAAAGTCAGCACCATCGCCACCTTCCACACTCAGCAAGGCCACGAGTTACTTGCAGAGTTTAAAAGCCCAGTCATCAGAAAGGAGACACACAGATGCTTTCACAACAGCATCAGCTCTTTCCAATCGCCCAGCCTTTTCTTTGTACCACCTTGGTGAAGACTGAATCAGACTCATTATCAACATTGGCAAGAAAAGCTTCACCAGAGACAGACCCGCTCGACTGTGCAGGGAATTTCCAATGAGATTTGGTTAATGATCTAACCAGTGAGTGTGGGGTTGAAGGATGATTGTGGGGTGTTTGTTTCCTTTCTGTTTTTTAGAAACAGAATAAGAGGGTAAAAGGAAGAGGAAGAAAGTTTTCAGAGCATCCCAAACACCATGTGTTATTTATCACAGACACAGAAAACAGGAGATAGCAGGAGCTGGGAGGTAGCTCAACCGACAAAGGGGCTTGCTGCCAAGCCTGACCCCTGAGCTCCACCTCTGTGATCAAAGGAGAGAACCAACTCCACAGAGCTGAAGGCAAGCCCACTGGTAAAGGGTTTGCCTACCGTAGAGGCCATGAGTTCAATCCTCAATACATTAGAAAAACAGTTATATCTGAACTAGAAAACCATGAAACAAAAGTCAGGTGAACTATTTCTCATACATTAAAAAGAACTAATACCTGGACAACATATTAATACCTGCTTAAAAAGTACCTGTAAACCGGATGGTGGTGGCGCATGCCTTTAATCCCAGCACTCGGGAGGCAGAGACAGGCAGATCTCTTGAGTTTGAGCCCAGCCTGGTCTACAGAGCAGAGTTCCAGGCCAGGCTCCAAAGCAATACAGAGAAACTCTGTCTCAAAAAACCAAAAAAAAAAAAAAAAAAAAAAAAAGTACCTGTAAATTTAATTATAACTTTCTGTTAGTGTATCAAATATTTACAAAACATTTATAGTATATATAGTATATATAGTATATATTACTCCAGAGTATAAAGAGTGTTGTGAATTGGTAAAACCAATACAAAATATTTTTTAATTTATCAAAATATACTGCTATCAAAATATAAATGTCATTATTTTGATTTCTGTGTTTCTTTTTTCTTTTCTTTTCTTTTTTTTTGAAAGTTTGAGAGTTGACTGTGGTTTCATAGACTTTTTTCTAAAGAAAAAACAGGGCTAAAGAGATGACTCAGTGCTTAGCCCTCACTGCCCATGCAGAGGGCCTGAGTCGGGTTGCAGCACCACAGGGCAGGCGGCTCACAGCCTGACAGCTCCAGCTCCAAGGACTGGCAGCTCTGGCCACTGCAAGTACTTGGTGCACACACACAATCACATACAATTAAATAAATAATTTTGATTTAAAAAAAAAAACAAGAGCTAATGTGATTGTAAAGTTAAATTGAGGACATGGGGGAGCAGGAAGGTTGAGTAGGGGGAAGAATACAGGAGAGCAGGATGAGAGATACCATAACAGAGGGAATCATTATATGTTTGAGGGGAGATCTGGCACTAGTAAGATTTCCCGAGATCTACAAGGATGACCCCAACTAACAATCTAAGCAATAGTGGAGAGGCTACCTTAAAAGCCCTTCCCCTATAATGAGATAGATGACTACTTTACATGCCATCCTAGAGCCTTCATCCAGAGGTTGACTGAAGCAGAGGCAGACAACACAGCTAAACACTCAACTGAACTCCTGGAACCCAGTTGCAGACAGAGAGGAGTGATGAGCAAAGGGGTCAAGACTGGGCAGGTGAAACCCACAGAAGCAGCTGACCTGAACAAGGGGGAGCTCTTGAACCCCAGACTGATGGCTGAGAGGCCAGCATGGGACTGATCCAGACTCCTTGAACATGGGTGTCAGTGAGGAGGCCTCGGCAATCTATGGGGCCTTGGGTAATAGATCAGTATTTATCCCTGGCATAGAAATGGACTTTGGGAGCCCCAAATAGGGGGATGCTCTCTTAGCCTGAACACATGGAGAAGGGCCTGGGCCCTGCCCCAGATGATATGACAGACTTTGGAGATCCCCCATGAAGAGCCTCACCCTCCCTGGAGAGTGGGGATTGGGTGGGAATTAGGGGGTTTGGTGGGACGGGGGGGAGGAGGAGAGGGAGGGAGAGCTGGGATTGACATTTGAAGCAAGCTTGTTACTAATTTAAATTTTTTTAAAAAACATATAAAAAAAGTTAAATTGGCCAAATTCATTTTTTTTAAAAATCAAAGGGAATTGTGTAAGTAGCAAACTGTCATTCTGCCCTTTTAACACCATGGTTTAAATCTCCCATTTGCGGGGCATTGGTGGCCCACGCCTTTAATCCCAGCATTTGGGAGGCAGAGGCAGGCGGATCTCTGTGAATTCAAGGCCAGCCTGGTCTACAGAGCGAGTTCCTGGACAGACTCCAAGACAATACAGAGAAATCCTGTCTCGAAAAAACAAAAAAAACAAAAAACAAAAAAAACAAAAACAAAAACAAAAGGTACTGAGAACCAGGCTGCAGGTGAGCACCTGAAACCCCAATACTTGGAAGCCTGAAGCAGGAGGGGTCATGAATTCCAAAGGGTCAATAAAATAGAAACCTGGCCAGACCCTGAAGAGAGAGGTACCAAGAAGAGGTGATTCTGAGGGGGAAACGGCTCCTAAAATTAAAATTAAAAAATTACATCAGCCACAGAAAACTGGCATAAGCAACCAATAACAAATTTCAAAATAATGTAAAAATTTTTAGAGTAGGAATAGGAGTAGGGAGTAAACAACCAAATTCTAAAAGAAAAAAAAAAAAACACAGAAGTAAAGAAAGCCTCTAGCAGGGAGTACAACTAGTGGTTGTTGGGTTTTGTTTTGTTTTGTTTTAAAGGACTAGGCCTATATGGAGCTCTAATCTCAAGCAATCCTCCTGTCTCAGCCTCCCTTGTAGCTGGAGCCACAGGTACACGTCCTCATGCCTGACTCAGCCTAGTATTAGCAACTACAAGGTGACGTGCAAAAAATTTGAACAAAACAAGGGCACAAGAAATTGTACCCACACTGGGCCCTCAGGGGCACCCCGAAGCATTCATGGCATCTTTCTGGGCTGCAGAGGGAAGGATGACACTAGTCCAGTGCTCTAATAAACAGCTTGGCAGAGAACCGATACCACAAAGCTCCGGAGCTAGAGATACTGGACATTTCCTTTGTCTCCTCCTGCTTTTAAATGCAAATTACTAAGCCCTGAAGCACATTCTGCTCTATTTTTTTTATATGAAAATTACTGCAATGTGGTCTTGTTCCAGAAAGGACACCATTCATCCAAGAAAGGGGAGTGAGGACAAGCACACACACTGTATGTTCAAATGATCTCATCCGGTGAGCTGTCACCAGGTACACATGGCTTCTGTCAGGGTGGTGACCCCATTAGTGATGGAAATTCCATGTGAAGAATGAGAATTTAGTTTTTCGGGTCATGCAAGGTTGCGCACACATTGTAATGCCAGTGCATGCCAAACACCAATGACAAAACTCAGCATCCCTTGGTTTTAGCAGCAATAGCTACTTACTGGAAACTTGCAAAGTCTCAATAATAATAGTAAAGGTTGCTATTTACGTGTTTATGACAAAATAAGAGGACCAATACTACAATGAAAGAAATGATATGCTGTGAGCACCCCAACAGGAGCCACTGGGCCTCTTCTCTGTTAATTCTAGAACCTGGAGAGTAGATCTGGAGACAGACTTCATGTTACTGTATCAGGGAATGGAGATTAAAAGAACATTTTAAACTGAAGAAAAACCAACAGTGAATCATAATTAAGAATGGTATTCACATCACTGTCACGGGTTCAAGCTTTCTACCCAAACCACACTTGCTTCAGGGAATTTTACTGCTGCCAGTGAAGAAAGCAGGGCAGACACAGCTGCATAGCAAGCTAACTTAGCTCTCGTCTTTCCAAGTTATATGTTAATAACGAAGTTTGCTTTAAACAAAACAAAACCCTCTTTTCCAGCTAGAGAAACCACATCCAAATAAAGTGGGGGGTTCTAAGGGTACTTGCTTTACCCCTGCTCCGCCCTCAAAGACCTCAGTCTACTCTGCAGGATGCCAGACAGCCAGGACAAAATCCACCATACACTTCCGATCTTTGAACTGTCAACGTGGATGTTTAAGGAAGAGGGAAGAGATTACACTGGTTTTTAAAGGCTGCTTACATCCCTCCCAAATGTCTGTATGAGATGTCACGGAAGGGCAGCTTGGGAGGCAGCCTGTACTTTCGCCTACCTATTCAGAACCCAGACAATGAATGAAGTTGATCCCTCAAGACCAGGGGCCCCAAGGGGGTCAAGTTTCCTGCACTGAAATTACAAAGCCTGTGCTTTGATGGTGTGGAAAAGTAATGGCAATCTTGGGCTTTCAAACCTAGAAGCGCTTACTAGTTCAATCCGTCCCCAAGTCCATGCCACCCTTTCAACTGTGCAATTAAGAGAAGGAGAAATTCCGGTCAACTCTCCTGGGGGCTTGGTCTGGAGGTAGAGGACTCAGGGAGGGAGGAGGATGGAGACAGAAAGAGAAAAGCCAACTAAAAGCAAACAAACAAAATTGCCCACCTTTCTTAAATTCTTCCAGCATAGCGTCCAACTTGGTGTCATTGAAAACAAAGTGCAAGGGGTGGTTGTAAAATTTGGTGATGGTTTTCAAGGGAGTGCAGTCATCTGGGTCCACGAAGGCCAAGTCTTTGACAAAGAGCAGGTCCACGATGTTGGACCGCTCTCCCTCGAACACTGGGATGCGCGTGTAGCCGCTCTCCATGATTTCGGACATGGTGTTGAAGTCCAGGATAGCCTCGCCGGTGATCATGAAGCAGTCCCGGAGGGGAGTCATCACGTCCTCTACCGTCTTGGTGCGGAGCTCCAGCGCGCCTTGGATGATGTTCAGCTCCTCCTTAACGAGGTCGTTATAGGGGTCAGTGACCCGGAGCATCTCCAGCAGTTTTTCCCGGTTATAGACAGTGCCTATCTCCTGGCCCAGGACGCAGTCCAGCAGTTTGCTGACCGGGTAAGAAGCAGGGAAGGTCATCATCATGAAAAACTTGGTGAGGAAGATGGTGTTGGCCCCTACCGCCAGGCCGTGTCGGGAGCAGATGGCTTGGGGCACGATCTCCCCGAAGATGACGATGCCAATGGTGGAGACCACCACTGCCACAAGGCCTGAGCCCGCGATGTCGTCGAGCAGGATGGTGAGCGTGGTGTTGACCAGCACGTTGCCCAGCAGCAGCGAGCACAGCAGGTAGTTGCCCTGCCTGCGCACCGGTTCGATGCGCTTGGCGTAATTCTTCTCTTTCTCGGTGCCGCAGTTTTGCACGATGCGCAGCTCCATGGGGTCCAGAGCCATGAGCCCCAGGTTGAGGCCGCTGAACATGCCTGACAGGCACAGCAGCAGCGAGATGAAGATCACTTGCAGCCAGAAGGGCAGCAGGAACTTCTTCTCCTCGCCCACGATCATCTTGGTGTCCTCGCCGTCGTGGTAGATCCAGGTGGTCTCGGCCCATGGGGGAGGCGGGAGTCCGGCCACCCCCGCGCCACCCTTGCCCCCGACGGCGCCACTCGCAGCCCCGGAGCTGCCGGCGCCAAGTGCGGGCGTGGAGAGAGACGTGCACAGGTAATAAGACTTGCTCTTCTCCATCTTGCGCAGCGGTTTGATCTCAATCTCGATGATGCCCGACGTGCGGCGGTTGAGAATGATGTGGGGCAAGATGATGATGTCTGAGGTGCGGATGCCGCAGCGCTGGGGGCCGCTGTCCGGCTCCGGAGGCGCGGGGCCCCCCAGCCCGCGCTCGCCGGGTGTGTGCCGGCGCCGCTCGTGCTCAGTGAAGGCGATGCGGGACCACGTCTCGTTGTTGATGTTCTGCCCGTAAACCCGCAGCTTGACCCGGGTCCGCTCGCTCACCCGCAGCGCACCCCCTTCCATGAACGACACGTCGTTCGTGTCCTCCAGCCGCAGCCCGATGATCACAGTCTCCTCGTTCTCGCCGGCCGCGGCGCAGCGCCCCGCGCCGCAGCAGCAGCTCAGCAGTAGCAGCGGCAGCAGCCGGCCCGCTGCTGCCTGCAGGACCCCCCGGCCGCGGGCACTGAGGCTGCGGCGCGCCGCCATCTTCCAAGTGGGCAGTGCGGCGGCTGCCTGCCCGCCCGCCATCTTTACTTCGGGTTCACAAGCGCCACAGCCAATCATAGGGTGGCTGCTCCAGCTGAGGCTTCATCCTTCCCACCCGGCGGCGCGAGCGCAGGCACCGGCGCCCGAGCAGGACTGCAACCGCGCGTCGGCGCCCAGCACTCGGCAGTCCGCCTCTCTGAATGACACTGACTCGCACCGAGCCAGCTGAGGAACCCCCTGGCTCGCGGGAGGAGGGAGGGAAGGGAGGGGAGTGCGAGCCGCTCCCGCGAGAGGCAGGTCGGTCAGCCAATCAACAGCGGGAGCCCGCCTTCCCAGCCAGGGGGCTGGAATGGGGGCGTGGTCGCAGTCGGCGCGCCGCACCAATGGCACGGGAGGTGGGCGGGGAGATGAGGGCCACTGTCCTCCTCAGCATGCCAAGTTTCCAACTGAAAGGCGCGTGACTCTTGTGTATGCGAGGGGAGGGGGCGTGGCCATCCCGGGCCCGAGAGCCAGTCAAAGATGAGCGCTGTAGGGAAAGGGGCGTGGTCTTCCTCCAGGCGGCCAATGGAAAGGAGCGCTCCGCGGGTGCGGCGCTCCCTGTGGGGTCTCTGTAGTAGATCCCCGCGCGTGGCTTGGCAGCCCTGCAATACTGCCCTGGGGCTCGAGGCCGCGGGTCCTCGCTGCAGGGCTTTGCGGGCTCCACGGGGCTCCGTGTCGGTCTTCCTACCCCGGGTGCTCCAGAACCGACTGGAGGCGGCTTAGGGTGCACGTAGCCTAAAATCAAATGGGGATACTGGTGAAGCCCCAGCCCACTACTCCTGCACATCGCTCCCCGGGAGATTGGCGGTGACAGGGTGGCCCTAGCAACGCTGCGGACCCGCTTGTCTTCATGCCTCTGAGCGCCCTCGGCAGCTCACGATCACGTGGCGCCACCTGCCGGTCCTCACGGACGTCCTGTAATGTTTTCGAAACCTCAGCAAACTCCCAAAAGTGTGCCCAAGTAAAGCGTGGGGAAGTTAGTGGGCAGCTTCCCAAACTTTAATCATAGGAATTCTAATGCATCGTGCTGTAATCACAGAATGAGATGGGATCTGTTGTTTTTCATGGGTATCCAGGCAATTTGGGGAAATAGGAAGAGGAGAACATCCCAAGAAACCCCATAAAAGCTTATTCTTTTTTTTTTCTTTTCTTTTTCTTTCTTCTCTTTTTTTAATTTTTGGGTTTTGGGGGGGCAGGACTTCTCTGTGTAGCTCTGGGTCTTAGTCCCAGCACTTGGGAGGCATAGGGAACTCACTTTCTAGACCAGGCTGTCCTCAAATTCACAGAAATCGACATGCCTAAGTGCTGGGACTAAAGGTGTGAGCCACCACCTGTTTTCTGGCCAAACGCTGCTACCTCTGGAGAAGTTAGACTAGAGCATAAGTCACCAAGCGCATTCATCGAGAATAGATGTGGTAGCATAGTAGTTGTCAAATCACACCAGTTAAGTGATTTTGTTTTATTGTTTCCTATTCTTACTTTGTATTCTGTAATCACATTATGTGATTTACACCCTTTTTGTTTACACCCAAAGCGGTTTTTTTTTTATCATTTCCAGAACAATTAATTTCCAGGCTCATTTCAGTGGTCTCCTTACCAGCTGCTCCTCTTTTATGCCTGTCCTCTGATCTTCCCCTGCCATGCAGCTAGTGACTTGTCAAATGAGGGCCTGGGTGCTCCCTTGTTTGAACACTCTCCCGAATCCTCGTCCCCCTGGGGTAAAAGTCCAAGTGCCTAGATCGCCTACAAGGTGCTGCATCTATGCCCCTACCATTTCCTCTGCCACATCCAGACTTTCTCATAGCTGTTTCTCAGTCGCTGCAGGGGGATTCCGCTGAGGTCGTTGTCTATCTCCTGAGGGTGGGACTCAACTTCTTCCAGACGCCAACATAACCCCCTTCCGAGGCTTCACTCAAAGGCCACTATACACTGTCTTTCCTTTGCTTTTCTTCAAAGCAAAGTCTCTTACTAATACTATAGATAAATTATTAATTTGGTGAAGAATCTGTCCTTCCTCAAGAACTGTGTCTGCATTGTGGACTGCTGTATCACCACGGTCTAGAACAACCATAGTCACATCATGTGAAAAGTGTTAAATAAAGGAAATTTTACTTTGACTATTTCAAAAAAAATATTCAACTGTAGTCCTAACCTTTCTGATTTCTGTTTCTCTCCTACTTCCTACTCCCATATTGCTACATTGAAAAAAATTAGTTCAGATATGTTTATAAGAGTGGCTTTTAAGCTGGGTGGGTGGTGGCATATACCTTTAGTCCCAGCATTAAGGAGGCAGTGGGGGGCAGTCTCTGTGTGTTTGAGACCAGCTGGTCTACATGGTGAGTTCCAGGACAACCAGGGCTACACAGAGAAACCCCATCTTGAAAAACAAACAAAGGCGGCATTTGGGATTTGTAGGGATATCTGACAATGTTAAGGACAGATACAGTTCCTTCTAAGCCAGCTGATTGAAAATGGAGTCTTTTAAGGTAATAGAAAATGTGACCCCAAGTGTGTTCTGGGCTCAGAGAGAAGGCAATTAAAGTTTCTCTTACACTGAGTGCACAGTTTGGAATGGGACTGTGGAGAGAGGAAGAAGTCCTTGCCAGACAGACCTACAGACGTTTCCTGTGCATGCACAGAAAGCAACAGTCAGGAAAATGTGGTCTTAGCAGCCTAGACTCTGGTGAGAAGTTCAGGCCTTGAGCAAAACAGACAAGGACCTGCCCAGCAGACACCATAAACTAAAATAGTTTCAGATTCCCTTGGGTGATTGCTGGGTGATCTATGTGCTCGGTGATGCATATAGACTAGCACCCTTTGTGAATACCCAAGACACACACACACAAAAAAAAACAACAGTGTAGACACCTGAGCCAGCAGCTTCTCCTTCCATGAGCGTTGTCCTTAGCGTTCTGGGGCTTTTTAATCTAAAAGACTTGCTCCATCCTTAGAGAAAAACCACTGGTGTGGGGCATTCCAACCTGTCGCTCTAGGGATAGAAGGTAAAATCAATGATGTTATAGGGGGGCTTTTCTGAAATTTGGAGGGAAAAATAGCCCCTCAAATTCCTAACATGCGACCATATTTTACCTCCATAAAAAAGCTAGGGAGTCTTAAAGGGTGGCCACCACTGTTCAACTCTCGCTTCGTTTTGACTTTGCCTAACCTTAGATGAGTCATTCAAGTGAGGCCAAGACCTCCCTGTAAACACCTTCCCTAGCTAAACTTTTCCTACCCAGAATTCTTCACTAGAAAATAAGGGAGCAGAATGACAGCTCAATTTTCTTCTGTGCAGAAGGAAAATTCCCAAGTCTGCAAGCTCAGGAATTGGTTCTGCAGCCAAACCCAAATGTCTCTCCAAGGTTGAGGCATTTGGGTTTTCTAAAAGATTGCAAGAAAAATAAAAACGATTCTCCATCCATTTTGTCAACATAAGGTCTATTTAATAGAGAAGATTTTTGTTGTGAAGTTTGCTCGGTTGTAAAAGGCATTCAAAACTGATGTTCTAAATGGGATTTGGGGTTTGGGGTGTAGACCCTAAGGCCTTGAATGTCTAAGTATAAGTTCTGCTGCTGAACTATACTCCAGATGAGTGACATCTGAATGCCACCAGAACACAAAGTCTTCAGAGGAAAACCAGGAACTTAGAAAACACTGGAATTAAACAAACTTGCCCTAAAATCCAATCTGCTGGCCCAGAGCGATTTCTCAGAAGCAAAACTCTGCACTTGCTTAAAAACACGGAACACTTTTAGGCAAAATGAGAATTTTCCACAAGTTCTGTGGCAAACTCACTATCTCAGGAGACCGTGCAGGCTTTTGTTTAGGACTTTCCCATATCCCTCCTTCTTCTAGGTTATTTTCTGGACACTGTCACTGGGAAGAAAAGGGGAAATGTAGCTTTGACAGTTGTGAAAAGAGATTTCTCCCTTGAAAAGAGTCTGGATTCTTTGCATGCTGGGTTTTGTTACAACCTGGTCCTCAGCTACCCAACAGGAAGTGAGCATATGAGAAGCCATCCTAATGCAGCCTTACGGACGGTCTATGCCTCTTCTCACTCTGCCTCCTCCCCCCCCTCCTCCAATAATCTGTTCCCCCCCCACCCTCTGTTAAGTTCACCTACAGTACGGACTTGGCAGATGAACAGTATTCAACACCTTTGAAAATGACATTCCCAGGAGTTGGGGATATAGTTCAACTGGTAGAGTGTTTTCCTAGTATCTATGAATCCCCAGGGTCAGTACAAAGTTCCCCATAAAACCAGGCCTGACCAGACAAACCTAGAATCCTAACATTGAGTGATAGAGGCAGATGGATTGGAAGTTCACGATCATCGTCAGTCTCATAGCAAGGTCATGACCAGCCTGGGCTACATCGAGAGTTTGCTCCCCAGACTGCATTTGGTGGGGTGAGTGTGGAGTAGGTGAGGGATAGTGTTGGAGAATAAACACCAGGACTTAAATGCGCGAATCCGAGCCCTCCAAGAGAAGCATGCCTGCACACCTCTGACACCAGAGCAGGAACCTGTGTTTCTCTCATGCTGGCTAAGTCCACTTGCACGGGATTTGATTCGCATCTTCTGAGGATGAAGCTGAAACACACTTGTCAGTCCACCATCTCTCCCCGGGTATAGACAAAAACTGCCCACAAAATGCAAGCACAAAATTCCACTGCTCTTTCCAATTCCTCTAAAGAACCTGCAGGTTTTGGCTCTTACTCAGCTGAAGGGTTAACGTGTTTCTTATGCCTCTGGGAAAGCATTTGCTTCCTCACACTTCTCGTCTCTGTGCGTCTGTATGTGGGTTTCAGTGCGTGTGGAGGTCAGATGACAGCCCCCATGTCTGTCCTTACCGTTCTGCCTTGTTTGTTGGTTTTTTGTTTTTTCCACTGTAGAGGCCAGGCTAGTTGGCATGTGAGGTTGGGGGAGTCTCCTGGCTTCGCCTTCCATGTCCTAGTGGAAACGGCGGGATTGCAGACAGAGGCTGCACCACACCGTCACAGCATCTCTTCACCCACTAAGCATCTCCTGGCCTTACATTTTATCTTCTTATTTATGTATTCATTTGAGACATGTACCCCGGGATCTCGTATATCTCAGGCTGCTTTTGAACTTGCTATGCAGATGAGGATGACCTTGAACGTCTGATCTTTTCACCTCCACCTTCTGTGTGCTGGAATTACAGGCATGCACAACCATACTCATGTATGTGTTGCTGGAG